CACACACACACACACACACACACCAGATAACACAACGACGCACCAAAATATCGGTGCTAGCAACCGCGACCAAGTCCGCTTAAATTAGACTATAAAATAGGGGCCTCAAGAAAAGCATGTACATTCAAACGCCGATCCTGGGAACACTTTCTGCAACCAGCAGGACAAATGAAATGGCCTGGAAAGAACACCACCACCAGCAGCCGACAAATTTATCGAACCCCGACAAACACGATAATTTTTTTGCGCACGGCGATACAACTCAGAAGAGCTCCGCTGCTGTTCAACAGCACCAGCACACATGCATCCATTCCAAAACAGAGCACATTCGCCATGAAATACCAATCAAACGGAAAAGTCTACGGCCTAAATTCTTCTGTAAACATCCAGGGAAACTAAACGGATCATATTTTCGCCTTTAGTCAACTGATGGATCGTGCAACGAGGCATTTGTTCTGTTTTCCTTCCCTTCCATTACGAAAAAGCATCCGATAGCATCCGATGGCTACAAGTTCACGCAAATGAAGCAGTTCCCGGACAGTATTCGGCTTAGCAGTGCGTCATCAATGAACCCCCTCCCCCGAAAATTAACTGCGGGTTCCATAGCAGAACAGTCATTTATCTGGTAATAACTAAATCCTCAGCTCGGCTCGGCCAACAATACGCAAACACTCTAACTTCTCCGCCAACATTATTTCGCAGCTCCCCTCGCCGGCAGTGCTTGGCATTTTCGCAGAATCACGTGGAGAGGGGAAGGGTGGTGGGTGGAGAAGTTGGACATGGCTGAGCGTGTTGGTTGGTGGATGCCCAAACGCATCTCCAGAGACAAGGGTAGGCGGTGGGATGGAGGAGGGGAACAAGGGTGCTAGTGAGGAGTTCGAGATGATAAATAGTCACAGTGGCAGAGGAGGTAGACAGTGCCAGCGTGCCCAGATACCACTCTGGTAATATTTGGCGACAGGATAGAGAAGGGAATTGAAGAAGCAAATCAGGAGCTTGATGCAAGAACTGCAGAGAAGCAGTAAAGAGGAAGAGACAACACAACAGTACAAAGAAAAATAAATTAAGAAAAACCTGAACATATGAAAAAAAAAAAAACGGAAAAAGCGAAATAAAAGAATTGGGACCCATGAATAAAAGCTAAAGAAAACAAAAGCAAATAAAAACTGAGAAAGCAAAAGAACAAATAAAAAACTTAGCAAAAAAACTTATGAGTGGAAATTTCCTTATAAAAGCCTGTTTGCAGCAGTGGGCTTCTCCATTTAAGAAGCTGATGCTTAGGTAAAGCTGAGAACTATCAGCTTACTTGCGCAACTTTACTTTATTCTCTGTCGCCTTCATAAATGTTAGGGGAGTCTCCTTACTGGCGATGGGTTTCCCTCTCGCATAAACTCAGTATTTTATGCGTTTTTTGTTGTGCGACGGCTGCACAAAACGTGTGTTATCATGGGTTGTCTATGTGTGTTTGTGTGTATGTGTGCATGCGTTTGTGTGTATGCATTTGTCTAAAGCATCTTGTCCGCAACTTTCAAATCGGGAACCATAAAAGCTAGAATGCTGAAAAACTGATGGAAACCCGCAAATTTAAATTCTGCCTTCCCACGCGCTCAGGTAACACTCATGGTTCGCGATTTGAAATGATTTCCTATCACTGCCAATTAGATTGCTTCCGGCCAAGAAGCCGAAGGCCCTAACATATCTGGCGAAAACATCCAAATTCCCCTACTGGGTGGCACTTTTGCTACGGCACTGCTCTGCAGCTGTACGGGACTGTTCCCCTGTACTGCTCGCCGAACAGTGCATCGATGTCAATTGACGGTGAGGCCTCGGAAAAGGAGGAGGATATGGAGTCAGCCTGTCTTTGGCCGCATATACTACCTCGAGATGTCCCGTTGTAGCGGGTAGAGACATTTGATTATGGTCCTGTATAAAAAGGTACAAATATGTTATATATAGTTTTTATGCTATTTCTATTTTTTTCTTCTCATGACTCATACAGTAATCCTATCCCCTACCCCATCTTAATCTTATTCAAAAATCTTCACATTCCTTTCAATCCCATACTCATCCCAACCCCCTCCCCGTGTCTCGAATCCAACGTCTAA